TTTTTATTTTTTATTTTCCTGGACCAATGAGTAGAGTTATGAGAATTATATTTTGTTAAGGTACGTACCATTGTTATAAATCAAATTTTTTGATAACTGAGTGTCCGGGCCAGCTTTCGCGCACCTCGACTAATCTCAGGGCCCTGAAGTTAACGACCGGGCAAACCTCCAGTGGCCCCAAGGTGTGACTCGAACTCGAGACCTGTGGATTTTATCAAATGACCTCATTATTCCTTCACTAAGGTCAAGTTTGGAAAGATTAAATAAGTGTATTTTTTAATTTTTTTATATTATGTGTAGAAAAAATAGAGAAAAAATATTGATTGATGTGATCCAAAAACAAATAAAAAGATAAAATAAGTACACTTTTTTTTTGTTAGCCAAACTTGGTCTAATTGTCTATACGTATAGCTTTTCAATTCCATTTAAATCTCTCTCTCTCTCCTCTCTCACTCTCTCTCTATAAGAGTAACAGTACTCTGTCACTCTTCTCTGGTATCAATCAATTTTATAATTCAACAATGAACATCACTTCAATCTTCGTTCTCTCCCTCTTCGTAGTTCTAGTTCTTCCCACTACAGCTCTCGGGGACTGCACTTGCGACGCCGGAACGATCAACGGTGGAAACAAGATTCAAGCATTCAGGTACAAATTTGCGGCCATAGCTTCGATTCTCGTCGCCGGAGCGATCGGAGTCTGTCTTCCGGTACTCGGCAGGTCCGTACCGGCGCTCCGTCCGGAAAAGGACGTGTTCTTCATCATCAAGGCGTTCGCCGCTGGTGTGATTCTGGCCACCGGCTTCATCCACGTCCTTCCCGACGCCTTCGACCACCTGACCTCGCCGTGTCTCACCGGAGAAGCTTGGCAGTTTCCTTTCACCGGTTTCGTGGCGATGATGGCGGCGATCGTAACTCTGATGATTGATACGTTTGCGACGTCGTATTTTAAGGGGAAGGTCGATGATGATGATGGTCATGCCAAGGCCGGAAGTACTACTGTCAATGTTGAGGATGGAGGTGGAGATCACGGCGGCGGCGGCGCTCTTCATGTTCACACTCACGCCACTCACGGCCATGCTCATGGATCCGCCGCCGTGCTTTCGTCACACGACTCGGGTGTCGCTGAACTTATTCGACACCGTGTCATATCTCAGGTACCATACTTATTTTAATTTATTTCGTACCTTCACTATTTTTATTCTTACCATATCGAAATACAACAATGTTAAAAGATCATAATTTTTGTGATTATAATGGTTTAAAATTATCTAAACGACATCATTTTGAATACAAAAGATACCAAAATGACATCGTATTGACAATTTTCAGCCATTATTACCACAAAAATTATAATCCCAAACATTTTCCATTCAAATATGCATACTATTACATTTATATATATATCTTTTTAACAATATTACATTTATGAAGTCTTGTCCAAATTATTCAAATTTATTTAGATAAATTATTATCTACATGTATTTATATCCATAATTTTAGATTCTGTTTCTCTAGGGATTATAGATGCTGTTAAATACGTTTCTTATTGTTCACTAGTTTTACGCTATGTCGGTTGGGTAGGAAAAAAAGGATTTGGAGCCGCTGCTGCAGCATTTATTGTGCGTCGAAATGGACCTATTTCGGGGCCTATTTTAATAATTCGAATCATTCATATTTTAGAATATATCAAGTAGAATATGTTTGTAAAAAATTAAATTAATTAGATATCGTTTACTCATTCATCCACTCACATTTCTATCTACAAAAATAAATAATAATTGTGATTTAAAATATTAAAATGAATACAAATGTAAGTAGATGAATAGGTAAACGATATCCAACTAACTTGATTTTTTGCAGGTATATTCTACTTGATGTACTCTAAAATGTGAACGGTTCGGATTATCAAAATGGGTCCTGAAATTGGCTCATTTCTGCGCACAACAGATACTGTTGCACACCCCGCGCAGCAGCATCTCCAAACTCGAAAAGAAAACATATATGTATATATATATATTCTACTGTTTGGTGTAATAAAAAATAAAAATAAATAGAAAATAATTTTTATAATTAATAAAAAATAAGTCTATTTAGATAAAAAAATGTTTTTTACTTTTAAAAGATAGATTATATTTTTCAGATTAAAATTTTATTAATGTCGTTATACTACTATTATCGCCGCCACCATTACCATTGCCACCACCGCTATCATCACCCCACCATCATGCCACTACCTCTCCCTCCATATTCGTTCCATCGCTACCACTACCAAACATTAAAAAAAAAAAAAATTAAAATACTTAATTTCCAAACAACACCTTCATATAGTTATATCATTGAATATGTGAATTATATATGCTTTTTTATTTGTATTATAACACTTTTATGTAAATATTTATTCGGTCATAATGGATGATGGCATTTTCAATTTTTTTTAATTGTTGTCATGTTGGTGACTCTTGTAGGGTAGATCATGTCACTTTTGGAAATTACCCCAATGTAATTTTAATTGAATTAACTAATGGTATAATTAATCATTTAATTATTATTAAGGGGATTCTAAAATTTAAATTTCACCGTATCTTACCTCAACAAAGGGAATGCCATGAACCAATTGGGCTACTCGGTAGACCACTCTCAATTGAGAGATCAGGATTCAATCATAGTAGGTTATTATTGATTATTTTGTCTTTTTTGGTTGTTTGTTTTTACTTGTATTTTTAGATTTTTATAAATAGTTAATTATTAAATTTGCTTAATAAAGACAGTAAACATTCTTCTCCTTATTGAAAAAAAGAAGAAGAAAGTCTGAATAATATACTTGGACTCATTTATAGCGAATATCAACTTTACTTTATTTATTTATGAATTCATATATATTGACTCATTTAATTATTAAAGTTGTGCAAGTATATTCTTTTTTAAGGTGGTTTAGAGCAAAAGTAATATATTTTCATAATTGAACAAATCTAAATGCATAGATTTATAAATTAAGGAGTAAAGTGATATTCATTAATAATAAAGAATTTTTGTATAATTAACAAATAAAAAAGAGAGAAAAATAATGCCAATTTGTTTGCAAAGACAATTGAGTTTGCAAATGGCATGTATTTTCATGGAAAAATTGCATTCATGTGTTTTTGAAACAAAAATATTACAAATCAGTAATAAATTTTTTCAATTTAAATAATTTAAATAATTATTATTTTTATATAAATTTATAAATATTTTGTGAGAAGACTATCGAATTGCAATTTTTCATATTGTTATTATGATTTGTTAGCAGTTAAATGAAAAGTGGTTTGGTAGATGTTTGGCTTAGATTTCTGTGATGAGAAATTTTAATTTGTGATGATGTGAATAGCAATGTGAAATTCTATTTCCACACACTTGATTAACTCAGTATACATCTTCTCTCTAAATTTTTTTATTACATTTCTATACTTCAATCAAATTACCAACACACCCCTCCCTTTCTTCCTCCCTCCTAACTCAACCCTAACCTTTGCCATTGCCGATCACCGATAGTCACCTCCCTCCCTTCCTATCATCACCACCTTCATAGATATATGTATATTCTGCAAAATCTTCATATCATTTTAATTGTCAATGTCAAAATTTCAAACAGGCACATGGTATAGCCATTAAACTTCCACAAAATATTCAAGGGAAAAATAAAAAATTATTATTAATTTGCTACAGAGGCTTCAATTAACTTCAATTTTCTTAATTAAAACTGTAAAACTGTCACTTTTAAACAATCATCCTAAAAATTGTGCAAAACAATCATAAAATTTCTGGTAAAGAAGAGAGTGAGGCTCAAATCTGCTATGATATCAGGTTGATAATGGAGTTAAACTTCACCATGGCTGCAACAATGGTTGCCTGGTGAGAGAGAGAAAACTAGATCTAGTCTCTCCCCCCCTTATTCTCTCTCTTAATGGCCTTCCGAGTTGCCCGCCATGAAACGGATCCAAATCTCAAGGCCTGATTTGAAAACCCAGAAAAACCTATCATCACAGCCTCTTACAAAGAAGATAGTATAGTTGGTTGTTATGTGGTTAATGATGATGATGCAGCAGAAGGGTTGAATCACTCTAAAGGATCTAGATTTGATGAACCGAACCCAACCCTAACCTAACCCAACCCAACACAACCCAACTCAAAACCACACAGAGCTATGCATATATATATATATATAGATACATAGTACAGAGTGCTGAGTACATACAAACTCACACACCCAAAGGGTTATTGAAATTTAGATATTAAGATAAAATCGTAGGCTTCTTTTTCTGTTTGGTACAGATTATAGAGAGGGGCACCCACCCTTAAGAATTTCCCATCTCTTTGCTTGAAAAAACCTTATTTCATCATCTAGGTTTCAATCTCCTAGAGGAGGAAGTAGTGGCAGGAGGAAGAGAAGGCTAGGGAGGGGCAGCGACAACCGTGGGAAGTTGAGAGGGGCTGAGAAAGAATCGATGCAAGTAGGAGGTGATGGTTGTCGGCAATGGTTAGTGTTAGAATTTGTTGGAGAAGAAGAGGGTAGTTTAGTATTATCTAAAAATTATTAATATGTATTGAGATAAAATTAAAAATTTTAATTTATATATAATGTAAACTGAATAAATAATACATACTAAAATAAGTAAAAATGTGTAAATAGAATTACCCAACAGCAATGGATGGTTGGTAATGATATGTTTGTGGGTGATTTTTAAATAAGGTTTTGGAATTGGGAATTGTGGTCCACTCGGTGATTATTGGAATATCATTGGGTACTTCGGAAGATGTGAAGACGATAAAGGCTCTTGTGGCGGCTCTTACCTTCCATCAATTCTTTGAGGGCATGGGTCTCGGTGGATGCATTGCTCAGGTATTACTATGCGTATCTCTTATATTATTTATTATTTAATTCTTTTATCATTTTTAGCTTTCATTCAGGTATAATGTTCATGTAATTTTTTTTTATAAAAAAAGTTTGAGTTCTTGACTATTTTAATTTAAGAGAGTATTTAGATTTAATAGATCCATTTTTTAATCAATTTCAGTGGTTTGAATCATTTATTATTTAAGATTCATTGAGTAAAATATTTATAGAAAAAATGAAGATAATTGGACTTTGATAGCTATATCAAATTTGTATTACAAAAAATTTATCTCAATTATTAAAATTATATTTATCGTCTATTTTTTTAAAAATAAATATAATTAAAATATAGATAGTGTTACATGCATCAATTAGTGTACTAACTAGTGTACCAACACTAATTATGATATTATTATTAATCCTACTTATTATACAAATTACAAATATTAAAAATATCTTAAATTATGTTACATCATCAATTGGTACACTATTTAGTGTACAAATTGGTACATATAGCGTTACTCTTCAAATATATAGTTACCGATATCTAATCATTTTAATTTTTTTACATGAATATTATTTTTAACAAGTCGTAAAAAGTGAATGATTCCGATTATCGAAATTGGTCTTAAAATGAACCTGACAAGCAGTGGCGGAGTCAGGAAACTAAATCAGAAGGGACACTTATTAATTACAACTTTAATTTCTTTTTTCCATAACCAACAATAAGAAGATAATAATAATTTTTGAATTAATATTAACAAAAATTTAAATAAATTATTACAAAAGTATTTCATATAAAATTTTATAATTAACTTCGAGTAAAATCGAAAAGAAAGTGTTGCGTGTAACTAGTGTATCATGGACAATATAAAAAAGTCATATATTTATTGTATGAGCACCGAAATAATCTTCTCGTATAATCCTATTGATTAAGTTTGCACTCCTTCAAACGCCGTCACTTTGTTACCTGAAAACACAAACGTAAGCTAGCTGGCAGGTGTGTGCCGGAAACCTTTCTGATGCCTAAGTCAGCAAATAGACAATAGACAAAAGCTCTTTGTATTCGAGAGTAGAAATTGTGATACTTGTACATAGGTCCCACTATGAGTTTTTGTAGATTCCGCCTTGCACAATCCTAATAGAACTCTAGTCCTCCTCAACAGAGTCCTCTTAGGAATCACACTCCTAAGGATAATGCCTATCCTGGTACCACCATATTTACTGCCAATCAAACGAGAAGGGTTCAACTCCTTTACCTCGACTTGTATCAAACTCAACTGAGCCAACACTTCTTCAATGCTTTAGGCAACACCGAAGTAAACCTTTCTGCAAGATTGTGTCCTGCGGAGCTACCTTTAGCTCGGTCCGTCTTCCTTCTAGCACCCCGGCCTACTACAAGCTTCAGCATTGCATAGCTAGGTCAAAGCCCTAGTTTCCTTCTATTGGCTAGCTCGGTGTGTAAACAATCCAAGACCGAGCTATCCAGACGCGGGCCAAAAACCCCAAAGCTCGGCCCAATGGACTTAGCGCGGCCCAATTTAATCACATAAATTACCCTTTTAATTGACCCTTAATTCCATCTGCATAGCATGCTTGGGATTTATAATCTTCAAGATGCGCTAGAATATCGCCCGAGGTGAAGTCCCTCGGCTAGCCGAGCTAAAAAATCCACTCGGTTACCACATCCTTGACGTAGTATAGCCCACTTTCCCACGTTGCTGACACCACGTCCTTACTGGGACACGTGGCGCCTCTTCATTGCCCCTACCGCTATGACAGCCGTCAAACATAACTTCAAAATTTGAACAGTCCCGCCTTTTTACCTCCATTTTACACTTATTCCTTTCATCTTCAAATATCCATTGTCACTGTTCATCTTCTCTCTGAAAAACCTCTCACATTTTTTAACCCCAAATCCTCACTTGCTATTGCCAAGTCTCCATCCCAGTACCTAAATCACTTGGTTTGCTCATCCCAATCCTAGCGGCTCGTTTATTGGATTCTATCTTCACGCCTTTAATTTGTAAGTTCCTCATGTCTTTTTTTTTTTTTTTTCTATTGTTATACCCTTGTTTACTTCCAAAGAATGGTGTCTGGACACCAAATATGTGTGTTTATACCCCAAAACTTAAACCAACATCGAGAACATTGAAACTCCATGAGCATACCTAGAAACACACTGACTTGGGACTAAGAACCAATCTAGAACTATGCTCTTGATCCAAAATCATACTGCGACCGGGGTAAGAACCGGTTTATGAGTTAAGGTCCGCCTCCGACTGAACTAGAAATCCCTTACTCAACAAACCGAGCTACAACGCTGTTCCTACCCCTTGACCGAACTGAATCTAACCCGGTTCCCAAAACTTGTTTCGCTTCCCGATTGTTCCTTTAGCCGAATAAAGGCTAGCACGTGCTTAACTGCTGCCGAGCTAATCTTAATATAATTTGTTATTTAGCCCGGTTTAACACTTGGGCATAACCCTCTTTCTATTTCCACTTTGCAAACTTGACTAGGTTGGTCAGGTACACCTTTGAACTTTTCCCCTAGGCGACTTTGCTCAACCGAGCCAACCAAAGCCACAACAGCGTCAAGCTAGGCCACCGTGAACACTTTAAAATGGCCATTTTTGTTTTTTAAGTAAAAATGGCAAAATACCGGTTTCTGGTGGACTCCCCGGGAGCCATGGCCGAATTTTGAAGAGATTACCATATTCCAAACGATGTCCACCTTTCTTTAGCTGAGCTAGATACCACACCATGGGAAAAATCAGGCTTCGTCCCTTTCACCGTGGTGTCCATCGTTGAGGGGGGACTTCGAGTCCCTGTCCAACCACTGATCTGTAAGTTCCTTAGACAAACTAGGCTTTGCACCACTCAATTGTCAATCAATACTTATAGGATAATCAATAGGATTGTCGAGCTAAATCATCGCCTTAGTCTTAACCTCGGTTTAGCTGAGTTGTTCCATCAATACTCGCTCAGCCAGAATGACGATGGCTGGGTTTATTACCTTAGAGTCAGGAGAGGCCGAGAAAAAATACTCAAGAAGACACCAAACAAAGGCTTAAACGACGATGACTTTATCTAGGTGTCAGGAAATTTTGAAGACCAAGAAGCCCAAATACCAGGCTATAACATAAACTGGAATAAAGGAATAGCTGATAAGAGCAATCTGGTTTAGTTTTCTTTGCTATTTCAACAACCACCATGCTAACCCTCGTGATTGTCCCTTGTGCAGATTTGAACCAGCTTAAGTCCAACTATGCTTACGCCAACTAGAAGGCACTCCGAGCCACATTACGATATCAGCATCGCGATTGGACTGAGCTACTCAACGTACAACCGATCTACCGTTATAGCGGTAAAAGGAAGACCAAAGTAATTGACTTCTTCATTGAGCCTTCCCATGAGCCCGATCCCACTCTTCCCCAAATCAACCTAATTCCCCTTACAGAAGAATAAGAAATGGCAAAAAGGAGGGTCGTGCGAGCACTTATCACCAAGCAGACCTCTGGCGAAGTGCAAACCGAGCTAGAGCCATCTGGTTAATCGCGTGAAACAGTGGTTGCCCTTCCAACTACTAGGGCCACCACATCTCAGTCGAGCAAGCGTGCACATACCTCATCGACCGAACCGTAACGCCTAGTAGATAAGGAGGACACCGCGTTTCCTGAACCTGCCCTGCCAAGCATAAAGCCCGCATGCTCCATCCGAGTAAGCCCATCAGAATAGGCACCCTCAATGACTTACAAGAACCATGCTGTAACCACTACGGATTCATTGGTTGCAGACAAGGATCACATGCTCGCCTTCAACCTCTCTAAGAGTGTCTGTCTGCCACTAGACATCGAGCATCATGACCACCTAACCAAGCTCAAAGCTATTCGCTCGGCAACCCAATCAATGGTGCTTGTAAGTTCTCCCACATAGGTGTTTCCATATTAACCATCTATTTGCTCGGTTTAGCCTAACCTCTTCCTCTCCTATCCGCAGGCCTTGCAGAAAAACCACGTGGCCCACAAGCGTGTGCTTGAACTCCGCAAGACCGCTTGGTCGAGCATGGCTAATGCAAAAGCCAGGGCGGCTGAACTGAAGGAGGCCCAGCTAAAGTTGGCCGAGCTGGAATCCAAAAACAAGCGTCTGACCGAACTAGTCAACGTTGTGGAAACCAACAAACAAAAAGCTCTGGCCGAGAGAAAGGACCGCTACCTGTGTGAACTGGCAAAGTTGGAAAGAAAGAAGATTGCCGAGATCACCGAGCTGCAGAAAAAAATGGAAGATGCTGAAGACTGAGGCTTCAAATAAGGGAAGGCAACCTACATCTTGCAGTGTGAAGCTGCCAAAAATATTTTATTTAAATGCGGGTGGAAAGCTGCTATTGTTAAGCTCGGTTAGGGGCCACACACCGAGATCTTTCAAAACCCTCCCTCTCACTTCATTCCAAGCTATATGACGGACTATGCCAACGCGGTCCAACAAAAGTTTCTTCAAGAGGGGAAGGAGGAAGAATCCCCTGAACCGAATAATGCCCCTCCTGAGAACACTAACCCCGGTCTCCAGCCTCTTTTGCCAGCTCAGGTGGATCCTCTCAGCCAACCGGTGCCAAGTTCAGTTAAGGGGGTGCCTGTAACCGACCTAGTCCATGAAGTACCCACCGAAACCGGCCTACCGAGTAGCAAAGCCCTGGTTGATCTAGATGCTGATTTGGACGATCTTTTTGCCTAATTTTCTTTTATTCTTCACTTTCAACGAAAAATGTAACCGGGCTACAAGCCCCTCCTCCTGTAATGGATTTCTAATGAATGAAAGTTTTGTTCGCTTTTTGACATCTTTTTGTTCTGCCACTGTACCTTTTCCCTTTTCCCTTTAGTCTACTAACTTTTTAAAAGCCTAGCTGGCCTAATTTAGCTCGGCCTTCCCTTATCCTGCCCACCCCTTTTTTTAAGGCCGAGATAAGTATCTCGGCCGGACAACAACTTCAGGATCTAGATAAGTGTTGG